TGAACGTGGATAACGTGCTCCATCATGTATAAACAATTTGATATGGTGATCCAATTCCTCTTAGATAAATTGGAGAGTTTGTGTCCTCCAAAGATGGCTCTATCTTTGTAGCAACTGACTATAATAAGAAGGGTGGTGGGTGGAGTGGCCGCATTCCTCTACCACCGATGTTTCCGCTTGGCCCATTTCATCGATCGCTATTAAAGAGGGAAGTAAATAAGCTAGCGGTCAGATTGGACTATTTGATGTAGAAAGAAATTAAAAATAAAAAATATTATTAGAAAAGATTCTTATAAATTCATTTTATAAAAAAAATGAGAAATAAATTAACTCTATATAATAAAGAATATCTTTAGTTCTATACGAATAGAAGAGACCTTTATTTATAATAGTTTTAGGGGGATAATTGAAAGAAATATAAAACTTAATAATACGAGATAATTGAGAAAAAAAAATAAAAATGATAATAGGGTAACTTTAGACTCTTTGAAAATATTCTGTTCCACATTAATCTCGGAAAGAAAAATGTGTTCTAGATTTTATGTTTGGATACACTGGATTCTTTTTTGGAAAATAGTCATATAATTATGCAACATTGAATGTCTTTGATATCCCCGAGTCATTTGGTAAATCAATTACATATGTATTACTATTGATTTTCTTTATGATGTAGGACAATACTTCTTCGACTTTAATTTGTTATAAGTACTTATGAGAAATTTCTCTTTTTACAAGTATATCATAATCATATCTTTTTTCTTGAACACTTTCTTTCTCTTGTGCTTATTAATTACTTCCTTGTATTTAGTATTAGTAGCTTCCAACTTCTTCTTCGCTTTAGCTTGGGTTAATTATACTTGCTCGACCATGTTATTAACTACTACATTCATTCTAGGAGTCTTTGATAGGTGAACGAAATTCAGAACATGCTTCGACACTTTTTTGTAAATAACAAAGAATGATGATACTATAATAGATCTACGACTTGTGTTGTTATAGGTAAATTTAGCTTGTACAAGTGTAAAATCTCATTGTCTTAGTTTGTCACCACAAATGTGATGAATCAAGTTTTCCAGAGTTCTATTAGTTACCTTCGTTTGACCATTAATTTGTGGGTGAGTTATGCCGCCAAACTTCAAACTTGCATCAAATCTTTTCTACAAAGTCAACCAAATATGAGTTAGAAATTCAAAATCTCTATCAAAAGTGATTGATTTTAGTATCCCATATAGGCGCATGACTTATTAAAAGAATAACTTAATAATATATATCATATATGAAGTCTTTTGATATGATATGAAATGAGCCATCTTGGAGAACCGATCCAAAACCACAAACACATAATCAACTCCCTCGGAGTTCTTGACAATTTTAATACAAAATCCATATATAACTTCCCCTGAATATCTTATGTTTTGAAACTTATATAAACCAATATTTTGTGACCAGCTCCTTGCAGTTTAACAAGTCCAATATTTTCTTACAAAACCAATATTTTGTGACCGGCTCCTTGCTATTGTTTTGTCTCGCTCCAAAGGTTCACTAAGTTCTCCTCCATATAAATATCGAATAATATTTTTTTATAAAGACATTCTTGGAATGCATAATTTATTTTCTTTGAATAAGTAAATATCATGGATATGAAAATCACCCGTAGGTTACCTTATCAAATACTTCTACCAGACATCTCTGAAGTCCTCGTTTTCAGCATACAAATCCTTCCGGCATTTAAACCCTATACTTTTATTACTTAAAGAAACCAGTAAAGTTGCTCTTTTACTCAAAGCATCAGCAACATGATTAGAAGTGACTTGTGTTTGATTACATAGGCAAATTGCTCTATGTAGGAAGCTTATCTTGCATGCATCTTGTTTAAGTGTTTCTAGTTCTTGAAATACCTTAGGGCTTCACAGTTTGAATATATTATAAACAGATTAAGTGATATTTCTAATTCTATATAGCTTGTATTATAGCATACAACTCTTGTTAATAAGTAGGACACTTTTGGCATACTTCACTAGCTTCTCACTAAAAAAAAAAAAATTGTAATTAGTCTTCCTTCCTATGAAAGTACTGTTCTAATCCCAATTCCACTTACACCACTTGGTAATGCAAGCACCGGTGTAGTAGTCAACTTCTCCTTAATCTCAACAAAGCTTTTCTCAATTGCCTCAGTCTATAGAAACTTTTCTTTCTTCAAACACTCAGTGATAGGAGCAATAATACTATTGAAGTTCTTAATGAATCTTTGTAGAAAATAGAAAGATCATGAAAGCTCCTCACTTCTATAACAACCTTTGGGGTAGGCCATTCTCAAATGGCATGAATCGTTTCTTCGTCTATATGAATCATATTAGCACTCATAATGAACCATAGAAAGATTAGTCGATTTGTTAAGAAGTCATTTCTTCAAATTAACATATAACTTGTTGTCTTGCAAAACAGTTAGGACTTACTATAAATGGTCCATATATTCTTTCCTACTATGACTATACATTAAAATATCGTCAAAGTAGACTACTGTCAATTTTGCAATGAATGATTTAATACCTAATTTATAAGCCTCGTAAATGTACTTAATGCATTTGTCTTGAATATAGTCTTTCATTTGTCTCCAAGCCTTATGTAAATTTGATGATATCTGCTACGGAGATCTATCTTTAAGAATATCTTGGAGCCTTGTAGTTAATCCAACATATTTTCTAATTGATGTATAGGAAAGCAATACCTAATCATGATTTTGTTGATGGCTCTATGTATATCCTCCAACTTCATCTTTTTTGGGTGTCAACAAAGCCAAGATAGTACATGGGCTCATATTTTCTCGAATACGTTCCTTATGCATCAACTCTTCCACTTTCTCCCTTAGCATCTTATTCTTTTTTGGGTTCATTCGATAGCGAGATAAATTTGATAGACTTGCTCTTAGAACTAAATTAATTTGGTACCCAATATCTCTTACGGGTGGAAGTCCATCTAATAACTCTTCAGGGGTGATCTCTTTAAATTCTTCTAATATCAATTTTAGTTCATTTGAAATCTTTGTTTTAAATGACTCTTCTCCATTCCTAACAAGAACATATTATACTCTTATTTCATTAGAACTAGTAATAAATTCCTTCGCATAGTTGAAAATGGATAATAAAGACTTTCCCTCAACTTTAGAAGTATTGGATTCATCTCCCGTTTTGTTAGTTGATAGAATGATAATCTTTTCCCATTCCATCAGAATATATAGACATTCTTTCTTCCAATGTGGGTTGTATTCACATCATACTATCATAGCTTTCCAAGTACCACATGAGATGCATCCATGTCAACTGTCTCACATATAACTTTCTCCTTGTAGATTTTTTTAATTGAGAGAGGAATTCTATATATCTTATAGTGATAATTGAGCATTCTTTAATCCAACCTAGCTTATATGGTATTGGATGAGCTTTTAAGTTTCTCACTAGTGATTTACATACACTATTGTCATAGTTTCCATTGTCTATGATCAATGCACATAATTTATTATTAATATTGCATCGAGAATGAAATATTTTCTTAGAGTGAGTAATAATCTTTTTACAACACATGTAACGTGTTCCCCTTCTTTATCTATTGTTTTAGCAATGTTAATATCATTAATTGCATCATTTTGGGCATCTCTTCTTCTTCAAAGTCATTATTGTGATAAGCAACGTTGACGATTTTATGAGCATGACACTCGTTGGAGCGATGACTAGGCTCCCCACATTTAGAACACTTATTATCCAAAGGTCGAGCATATGGATTATTTGTGGTAGTCGAAATATGCTTAGCTTGCCATGTTGCTCCTTTGGTATTTGTGCCTTGATTTGTAAGTTGTATTGATTCAGTCATAACTTGTTTCTTTTTGTTAAAAGTAGATCGTGTTGTCGAAGTAGAGAATTACTAGGTAGCAATTAGACGTTGAGTCAACAATATTTCAGTCTTCAATGTTATATTGTGAGTTTCATCTACTATCTATATAAGAGTTAAAGGTATTTTATCTTTAATTACAAATTTTAGTCCATTGACACACCTTGTTGTCTATTGGTTTTTTGACTCTGATAAGTTACAATTAGCTGAAAGACGTAAGAATTTATCAGTATACTCGGTTATAGATCAAGTGCCTTGATGTAGTTTAATATTATTGGAACAATAGTTATTCATAGTCTAGGGTAGGAATCTTCCTTTGAGAAGTTGTTTTATTTTCTGTCATGTATATATCGATGCCTTTCTTTGTCTTTGGTATCTTTTATTGTCATCTTCTAAGTCATCATCATATACTATTAGGTGTTGAAGGCGGATAATACTACATTGGCTAAAATATCGAGGTTGAGCTATACATGCACCTCTTCTTATGCTTCCCATAGGGCTAGCACTCTCCGATCATTATTATTGAGGTTGTTGCCATTGCCTTTATAACGAAGGCCATCAACATCGAAATTGCCACTATCATCATCGATAACATCATCATCATTATTGTCATTATTGCCACTAAACCTCATCTTGATAGACTATATGATTGTATTTAGCAAATTAAGTTTCGGATACATAAAATCACAAGTGGAGAACATATTTCTTAATTTTCTAACTACAAACTAACGAAAATAAAATTTAAAAAATACTGTTAGAAAAAATTCTAGCATACTAAACTTATAAGGGGGACGAGAAAAATCAATTGGAAGAAGATCTTTACAATACTTGAAAAATATTATTTCTTAATAATTATGTAGGTTTAAAAGAAACCTTTATTTATACTAGTTTTAGATGTTAAAAATTAGCTAACTAATAATATAAAATAATTAAAAATATATAAAAATTAATAACGTGAGATAATTGAAAGAAAAATAAAAGTAATTAGTACATAACTTCACATCATAGCAAGAGTTTAACCCTATGACCTACCGAAAAAAGGATCCAGATTCACACACTGAACTTGCTGATTGAGGGCTTTTACCCCAAGAACACCATGAACATTGCAAATCATCTAATTACAACAAAAACATGCCAAAGACATCGATTGAAATCATCAATGCATTAAGCTTGAGCTTTCACCTTGTATATGGTATACCGGTAGGTTATAGTCATCTCAGAAACTGAGTGTATAGAATTGGACGATTCACAACTAAAAACCTTCCTATGTGACATAAAAGGGAAGCTCAAACCATACAAGTCGAAAATGACAACCACACTCCTAGAACTTACATGTATTTGACAGGAAACAGATACAATGACCAAACAACACTACTATGAAGTCAACTTGATGCTTAACTCCAATGTAACAGACCACAAGATAACAAAACATAACACATAGACACATGTAGCTTTCATTTTACTTCAGGTCAACTGCAGCCATTTGGTCCGCATGCGCTCAAATGGAAACTTCAAACTTCAAACACCGCTAATTCTGGCTCTTGGACTTCTCCATGGCCCTTGGGGCTGCAACAAGTGTACATAGACTATTAAACACATATTACTGACAAGATGATGCTCAAAAACAGAATTTTGTCAGCAAAGAACATTTGCTAACATCGGGATCTTCAGCTTAAATCGATTGTTTCGTTAAATGTGATGCTTCATGTTAAAAAAGGAAGTCTATGGATGCTTTATATATTGAAAAGTCTTCAAAAAAGCACCGTGCCATTTATGTAGAATTCTTTTAAAGTCGCAATTAGAGTTTTGCCAATATTGTTTCATGTGATACCTGCCGTTCTTAGAAATATAATGCATTTGATATTACATGGATGTGGGGACACAACGATCAAGTATCAGTCAGTTTTTTTCGAGTTCAACAATTAGTTGTCAGCTAACCCAGCAGAGGGTGGATCCATTTATCAATTAAGTACCTGCAAAGAGCTTAATAGCAACCAAACATAGATGAGGGCTAAGTGATAGTCTCACATACCGATTCCAATTGCATCTGAACCCTTCATAATCCTTAGCCTCCTACAAGAATCAGTAAACATGCTGCAATGGCAAATACATATAATCAGTTGCTATATGAGAATGTAGCATCACTAGTAAACATGTAGAAATTGAACTATGACAGCCGATAAATCGAGATGGTGCAGTATATACAAAAAAAAAAAAAAAAAATTCTAGACCTATATATTTTGCATCTAACTCATGCATGAAAATGCTTCCAATCTGCATAGATATTAAACATTAGAGTCTGGCGAAAGGCCCTTCCCAATCTACCAAACCACAAAACTTGTTCCCACTTTAAAATTGTTGTCTTTTAGATGAGGTTGAATCATGGTACTAGTAAGATACCATGAGGGGTTTATGTTTTTGTATCCAAATCTTAGCCTGCTGTTACACTAACAATAAAAATGAAAGGGAAGAGCATAATTACATTTGTGGTAAAATTTTACTGCCCTTTCATCATTTACAACAACTAGGCAGTTCATAAGTCTGATATTTTACTTACTCCCAAGGAACATCACCGACAAGCATCCAATCACTGTCCTTGTCCTCATAGGTAAGAACATATTCAGACCCTTGAAGAAGATCCATCACTCGACCCTCAGTTAGTGTCTCTCTGCTCGACATTCCATGTGCACCACACTGACCTGAAACCACATGTACAGAAATAAGTAAACATCTCCTTGCATCAAAAATATTTTTCTTTAATAGTCCTTGCATCGGATCTGTGAAAAGTCATTAAATAGTACATAAATACAAAGCCTTACATGGAATAAATTATAATGCTTGAACAATCTTATACTTACTAGTAGTGATTTAAGGATAGAAAAGAAAGAACAGGCGGAATTCCTTGAGAGAACTCTATTAATTAGTGTCTAACATCATGAAGAAGCAAGGGTAATCAAACAATGTAAATTATCTTTTAAAGACAATACTAAATGTCGTCAATATCTCTAAGGTGAAAGAAACTTTCTTTCAAATATTGCAAGTACTGTTTTCACGTACTAGGATTCTTGTTCTCTTTAGTAAGGCATCGTTGTATTTTTAACAGGAGAAACATTAGAGAACTCTCAAGGCATAATGCTCCAGGCATCACACAACCATTGGATGGTAGGATGAGAACAAAAGGTCCCCACCAGGATAGCCGATCAAACTGTTATGTGAAACCCTGACTACATATTCTAGAAGTATTGTATTACATCATTTGTATCGGCCATGGATCAAGGAATTTCCTGCACAGGATACACAACTGAGATCCAATAGTTGGTGACAGAATAAGCAGTAAATTTGTCATGCTTGCACACAATTTTTCCCAGGAAATCACAAAATATGTAAAAAGGAAGTCCACGTGTGTGACAAACAAAAGAGCTTACCAATGGTAAAGCAGGTAAACATTTTCGCAAGAGCCAGTGAGAGCTCTTTGTAATTGGCGTATGTTTTTAGGTCAACTTTTCTGAGATATGGAGCTCCATCCATGCTGACTTTGATATAGAGGCAGTCCACCCCTTGTTTACCTTCGGCATCCTCCTTGTTCTTACTTGGGTTTGCAGCCATTGTATTCCTTCTGTAACTCCGGATGGGTGGCCAACCAACAACTTGTGCCCTGTCACATACAAAATGCTCAGGCATTCCTGATGAAGGAAAAAGACTAGGATGTGGCTCTACATATAACGCTGATGAACGAGAAAAGGAATCAACTTCTTGTCAAAAATGGGGACAAGCAACAGGAAAACAAATGCAACTAAAAATTGCACTACATGGACAGATAGGCCTGCATAAATGATTCATGTTTTAGATGTCACATAGCAAAGAACTGAATAGAACAATGTAAAAAAGTTCAACTGGAAACAATCTTCAGATCTGCGAAAAGAAACAAAAAAGACTACAATTTTAGCACCACTGGTAAGGACAGATTTTATAAGAAGATAGGAAATCAAAGCATTCCCAGGCATCACTTTTAATTCACAAAGGAAACAGGGAAGAAATTTTGTATGCATCGGAAGGAGTTGAGCTGCAGAGTTACAGAAGATACAAGTCTTAATGCTCTCCACCCAAAATCAGGAGAGTAGCACTTGAACATAATACAACTATATGATTGGCATCTTTCAACATAACTATTGCACAATGCAGTCGAGAACTCCATTTACCATTTCTTACCGATGCGCCAAAATAAAACAAAATGGATGGTGCCTATAGATCTAGTTGTCAAAAGAAAATTTTCTGGAGTACATCATTACAGTGGGAGCTGCTTATCTTGATTTAAAACTCTATTAAACGTGATGGTTCAAAATCCTACACCAAAATTGCTCCTTCGAGGCTCACTTGACTGATGAACAAGAAATTAAAGAACTAGATTTCCATTTGGTTTCGGGACTGGTCCAAATACTCAAGTACTACATGATAAATTCACCATGGGAAATCATAAGTATTATGTTCTATACCGGCATTCACATATCCATATCTGCGTGATCAAAGCTGCAACATGTGAAAAGATGCTACTAATCAATGACAAGTTCTTAACAACTAGATCAAAGCAGTTGGCATACCAAATAATTAGCAAAAATACAAACATGAATATAAGAGAAAACAACGGAATGAACAGGATTTCAGATTGGTTCCAGCATTATCAACTTTCACCTTCATCTAAGCTGGACAGATAAAAGTTCAAACTTTGCGTTGCAAACTTCACCATTAATATCTCACCCCGAAAAGTCCACAGAAGAACAATAATAACTTTAAAATGTGCGAATAGAAGAATTTCTTGGCTCACACCTATCTACCAAGGCAGTTAACATGAATAGAGAGACTTACTTCGCCAAAGGCGCCACCTTTGCCGCTCCGCCGTCATCCTTCCCCTCGATCGTCGGCTTTCCACCAGCGTTCTCACCCTTCGCCGAGAAGGAAACCCCGCCCTTCCCCTGTTCCACCTCAGATCTGTTGACTCCTGTGAGCCCCCACTCCCGCGGCTCGTCGATGGCGTCCGAGAACCCCCTCTTGGAGCCGGAGACGAAGTTCTTAGGGAGCCCAAGCGTCAGGCCGGTCCCTCTTCCGTCGACCCTCTCGGGGGAGTCGGAACCCGGGAGCCCAAGCCGGAGCTCCGTGTCCTTAAGGTTGGCGGAGGAGAGCTTATCGGGGCCCTCCGAGAGGCCTATGTAATCGTGCTCCAATGGCGGTGTCATCGAGATCTCTCTCTCTCTCTCTCTCTCTCTCTCTCTCTCTCTCTCTCTCTACCTTCTATTCACTGCGATTTCTGAGAGCAAAAGGAGACAGGATCGACGCTTGAACAGGAAACGGTGGAGGAAAGAAGAAGAAAAGAAGGAAGCGAGCTGTGGGTTCGAGACCAACGGGGGAAGATTCCTACTTGTATAGCTCTCAAGAAAAGAAGCTCTTTTGGGTCGACTTATTCTTCTACAACGCAATGATAAGAGCTCCAAACATGGGGAGACAGAGGAGGAGCACAAGACCAGAAAATAAGAAGTATAATGCCAAAGTGACTTGCGGAGGAGATATTTGTATGGTTTTTAATGGTTGGGTGTGTGAGGCCTTCACCTATCGGGACCGCAAACCTACCGACAGCGGATTGAAAGTTCCCGACAGGATGGCAGATATCGCTCCAATTGCAAATCTCCCTACTTCTAACCCAATCTCTCAGGATAATTGATGGGTACTGCTTGCTGATTCCCTCTCATCTTCTCGGTGAAGAGACGAGCACTACCACTAGGAGTCTGGGAGCCACTCGTGCTTGACCAGAGTTGCATTAAAATAAGCGACGACTGAGCGAGGGAGGGATCACATCGGTGGCGGGAGCTGCTCTCTTCTTGGCAGCAGAGCCATTACGAGGGGGAGAGGCGGTAGCAGTCGGGGTTTCTGTCCGCGGTCGACCATGTCATGTTGGCAGCGACAGCGACACCTACCAACCCACAAGGTCAAGAAAAGAGAAGGAAAACCATTAAAAATACATCTTTACAGAGTGTGTCGTCTGTGCTTTGCATGTATTATACGAGCGAGGGGTAGGGAAGAGAGAGAGGGTGGGGGTGGAGACGGCGACACGACCTGCGAGTCTCACCCCCCCAGACACGGCACAGCCCCACGCCTGCATCATCCGTCATTATTATGTTTTGGAAGCATCGATCGCCTCACCTCACCGAACGGCTCGCCGTTTGCGGAAAGCCCCCCCATGCGTGCCCAGAATCTCGCCATTTTTCTGGTTTTCTTTGTGTTTTTCTCGTCATATCACTGGAATTTTTCCCCCCAACTTGACTTCGGAATTGAAACGCAGATGAAGTGTTCGATTCATGTCCTCCCTTAGTGGACACAAACGCTGGTATCGTGGTCGCCGAAATGGCGAAGCAGGAAGGTGAGGGATGGTGATCAGCCGCGCAGGGGCAACAGGATCTTTGGCGTAGCTTGGAAATGGATCCCCTCGCTGCTGCCTCCAGTCTGTTCCTGTCATTTTGCCTGCAGCTCCGCCTCCCCGTGGCCCCAAATGACAACCACCATAAAATAGTCGAGATTAACACAGCGAATTTTGCAGTGGCAACACCATCAATTAGAACTGCACACTGCGAGAATCCGCCACTGAGGGCCTTCAAAAGTGCAGAACAAATCATGACGGGCCACCCATCACCATCATCCAGGATCAGGTGGCTGTCGCCATGGTCCACAGGTCACGGTTGTCACACCGGTCAACCCCAAAGAATCTTTTGGGACAAATCGATCAACATAGGAACCTCCAATGCAGCAGAAATTTAGCTTCGTTCAGATGATCTGCGTGCAATTATCTTTAGCTTCGAATAATTTGCTGGAACTGAAACTCTCATAGCTGCCTCTTGAAAGGAACACGACGAGGAGTGCAGAGGGACCAACGACCGGTAAAAGACCGAGAGGATCTGAAGTCATACATCAGTGTTGCCCATCCCTTCTCCTTGATGTCAGTCATTGTCCGAGCACCAAGCATGAACAAATGGTGGGAAGAGTGGTTCGGTGCTCCGGGCAACCGATGGCTTCGACACAGCGATGAGTCTCCATCTTCAACCTATTTCGGTCAACCCTCGAAAGAAAGATAGCCCTCTTTTACAGGCTGCCGATTCCGGAGAGTGGCTTCAGCTACAATGACTTGGGTGCCTCTGCATGTGCACTGCTCGACTACTTGCAGTAATTTGCCATTGCTGTTCCTTGCTTCAGCTCGTTCCTGCAAAAGCTTCTCTCTCACATCCCCAGCGAGCAGGGACATAACCAGCTAAATGTCTCTCTGCACCCTTCCGAAGGAATAAAGTCGTGAAAGATTCTATCAAAATGAGCATTGAAGAGTTTGCAGAAAGAGGGTGCACAGTAACTGATGAACGTCAGATCCTTGTTTCTGCAAGAAGGATGGGACAGGATGCCCCCATTTGTCTCTGTCGTTTCCTTTCAATGGAAGAGGACTTACACCACAAGTAGGAGACAACCATTGTGGCAATCTCGAGCATCTTTCTTATTGATGACGCAGAGAAGTTAAGGTGAAATCACGAGGAAGAACACATCAACCAAGTGAGTAAAAAAGGATTGCTGTGGGTGCATATAGTAAACACTCCGCGCTGCCACCACATTAAAAGATGATGAAATGGATTGGCAGATAATTTTCACTTTGCTTTCGGATCAAAATATTCTTCTCTTGATTTGTCTTCTTCTCGCAGGAATTACTTGGTTTGACTTTGCTATCCGTTGAAGAGTTTCTGATTTGTGTTTTGGCAGCTCTACTGCAAGAGTCATGTCTTGCGACAACACTCGCTGACCAGTTCACGTCCGATCATTGTCACGCACAAAAGTCTCGGATTACCACCGTTGACTAACGCAAATGCCCAAACTCTGATGACTGGTAGTGTTACTACGAGACATTAAAGTGAAAAAGAGAGAATCCCATATTTCATTTATAAAGATTGAAATGAATGATTAATTAATATTGACTTGATTTTATCTCCAGAGGATTTACTTACTAGTCATCGAGTTCCAAGCAACTCAGAGAAGAAGTTCTTCTTCTTTTTATTTGAGGAAAATATAGAGTAAACCTATTAATGAGTTGGACATAAAAGATTCTAAAAGGAAAGAGGAATGAGGAACACAGGATTAAGAAGAATTGCCAGAAAATGGGGGAAAATTTTCTAAATACAATTGTAAAATCCATGCTAATTTTGGAGAACAAGAGAGAAGAAGCAATTACTAATTTGATACTTCACTCACAAGGTTATTAATATTTGGACATTGAGGATTCCACTGAAGATTAATATCTCGGCATGATATATTAGAACATACTCTCCCAATTTCCTACAAGGATGGTATTGCTTCCTTTGCAGTCTTCTCTTGATCAAGCCATTCCAGATACTCCATTTTGTTTACCAGCGAGAGAAGGCATCCAATTAGATGGACTAAGGTACTGTCACAAACAGTAATTAGATTCCATTTAATCTTTGAAAACGATACAAGTTGATCAAATGCCTGAGATTTAGCTTAGTTAGCCTCAAATCAATGCAGCTGTGAGGCTATCATAAAAGCTGGGTAACTGCAATGGGTCTCCATGCATATACCACAGAACAAAAGCATCTTGAATTGCAAGATTTGAGTACAAGGCACTCCATGCATCTTGTCATGCCCTCATATAATATCTTTTTTCCTCATTCTGCAGTTCCCAGCTTACTGCGTCTTCTGGGCCAATGGCGCCTAACCTGGAGCTTCTCCTCCTGGCCCTTCTCCATGGCGCCGTCATCTCCTGCGTTCTCCTGCTGTTCATCATTCTTCTCCTCATAACCTTCCTCCTCGCCTCCTATATTCTCTTCCTCGTGATCGCTGCCGCCGATGCATACGATACGCTGCTTCTGTTCTCGTGGTTGATAGGTTCGTTCAAAGCCAACCTGCAGCTGGGACTGGTGCTGCTTCTTTGGAAGGGGCTCAGCTGCACGGTCGGAGCCTACTCCGCTGCGAGGCCTCGGATTGAGTCGATGGGTTCGGAGGCCAAGCGACGAGCTGGGCGTAGCATGAACAAGCTCAAGAATCTCACGTTGGTATCGCACAGGTGATGTGATTACTGGGAGACTTGCATGCGATCGGACGTTAAAAGTTCGGAACAAAGGTGGTAGTATTAATTTGAGAGTCTTGCAAGCTGAAGCATATTGTCTTCACATGCATGGGCATGTGTACCTTTAGAAATGACATTGGCTTTTGTGTCATCTAAAACATAGTATATATTTGATAGGAAAATGAAGGTGCAATTATATTATGAAATTGATAGGAAGAACAATAAATTTTTGGTTTTTAGAAAACACAATGATAAGGCATATTTCGGATCTCGGTCACGTCGCGATCCACGCCACGTCACCCCCCTGCAAATTCAGTACAAGGGTTACTTTCGTGCCATGCCGAGCAGGAGCCGGTACTGGGAGGCACCCCCTCGGCAAGTCCCATCCCGAAAAGCTCGAGACTGCGTTGCATAGTCGTATAGTGCCGTTCTACGAATACTGGATGGCAATCGTACGAAGGTATGAACTCGTTACTCAGGAGAATCGGTCGCCATGCGAAATCTGCATACGATCGATCCTCGGACAACAATATAAAAGTCTTTGATCTGCATCTGGTCAAGGGACGAAGAACAGAAGAAAAAAAATTACCGACTTAATCTATGAGGGGCCCAAGTCAAGAATCTTCCGATCAAGACCTATGTGCAAGAACATGGCCACCCTCGAACTAGCTCAATCCCTCAAGACGCGATCATCCTGACTCATGATCCAACTCATGATCCAACTGATCGAGAGACGCATCCTCAAACGCTGGGAACTCTGGACACCGACTCGTGGATTAAGCCATGTTGACTCCTCGATCATGATCAGAAGTATAAAACAGAGAACGTGAATAACATAATGTTATTGACATGAATTACTTTTGACCAAAGTTTCCAGTCGTATAACTCGTCAAGCCTCGGCTGTTCCGTAGATTCAACTACATCCATATAAAGAGAATAGTGACGTCCCGCGAATGACGTCCGTCCCAAGTTGCTGCCTCACCAGCTGATACCGTTGATGGTAAGTAAACCATACGTTGCCTTCACCAATTGTCACCTGTTGAACATTGTCATGTAAAATTTCGAAGTATGAGATGCCTCGATATCGTAACTTTGGTCTTTTAATATGTCTTGTGGACGGTATGCGGTGAGGTACAGCTAATATCTACAATTATCTTACAGTAGACACCGATTTTGACTTGTTTATCCCATTCAAACTGACGTGAAGCCCACCTGACAACTACAGAATATATACCGTGGGAAGCATGTGCAGATGGAATCAGCTGTGCTGCACTCGTGAGTGCATCTCTCGCAAGATCAGCACCATTGATCATATAAATGCACACTCATTCAAGCACTGCGCGGCTCCAGCACTGTTGGGAGATCTGATTTTGACCGTATGCGTCCCTCGAGTCTTTATAAGTCAGCGTTGGTTGGCGACTCTTGTC